GCCACTGGCGCTGCCCCGCGTCGCCACTGTGTACCCATTCCCCACAGAGGGGGCGTCGCCTGCCTGCAGACGTGGGCTGGAGGGGCCCAGTCGCCAGGGCAGCACTGGGTTGGGGCGGGGGGACAGGTTGAGCATGCCTCTTATGCTGATCTCGGAGGTTACACTGCTGTCGAAGGTGGTCTCTAGGGTGCTGGGGAGAGAGAGAGAGGGGGAGAGAGAGATGGAGAGAGACGGAGAGAGAGAGCGAGAGAGACGGAGAAAGATAGGGGGGCGAGGAAGGATGGGGTGGGTCAGGAGTCACCACTAACTCTCACTGTGACAACACACTACAGATCAGAATACTGAACTACACTCCCTCTCACTGTGAAAACACACTACAGATCAGAATACTGAACTACACTCCCTCTCACTGTGACAACACACTACAGATCAGAATACTGAACTACACTCCCTCTCACTGTGAAAACACACTACAGATCAGAATACTGAACTACACTCCCTCTCACTGTGAAAACACACTACAGATCAGAATACTGAACTACACTCCCTCTCACTGTGAAAACACACTACAGATCAGAATACTGAACTACACTCCCTCTCACTGTGAAAACACACTACAGATCAGAATACTGAACTACACTCCCTCTCACTGTGAAAACACACTACAGATCAGAATACTGAACTACACTCCCTCTCACTGTGAAAACACACTGCAGATCAGAATACTGAACTACACTCCCTCTCACTGTGAAAACACACTACAGATCAGAATACTGAACTACACTCCCTCTCACTGTGAAAACACACTGCAGATCAGAATACTGAACTACACTCCCTCTCACTGTGAAAACACACTGCAGATCAGAATACTGAACTACAAAGCAACACATTCAACATACAAAACAATAGATATAAGGGAAGGAGAGAGGTCTAAGAGATGAGCCACTCCAGCATGAAAAGCTAACTACATTAACATGCACTTATCTACAATTAAAATGTTTGTTCTGACTGAACAATCCTGCTAGTTGAATTGCATGATTCACTATCATATAATGCTAAAGTGAGTAGAAATCCTTTGGGCATTGTAGAACAGCCCACCAGGAGTGCTTTTCATGTTTTTTCTCCTCTTTTATCGACTTGGGAGACAAAAGCAGCTTTTAACCTCGTGCTGGCTGACCACAGGGGTCCACTCAACCCCTCCAAGCGGATTACACGGCTGGGCTCAAGACGAGGTGACTGGGCAACAAATCAGATTCATCAGATTCATCAGAGATAAAAGAGGATGTCTCCACATCAACATCTGATCTACCAGTCCAACTGCCAATCAGACTAAAGCCTTTAGAGACCAAGGCAGACTCTGTCATGTAGACAAGCTGGAATCCAAATGGTTCACATGCCACAAATAATGGTCCTCATTTTGAATGCTTCTTTCCCACATCAATCAAAATGACCGTCATGTTTAAATTTCACCCTGGTGTTCTTTTGCCCTTGTTACTAGATCACTGATGCATTACTGAGTGAAGTCAGGAACAGCCATAACATTGAATCATGTTTGGGAATTGCGGAGCCAAACCACTGAAATGAACCTCTCCTTCCATCAGAGCAATACAAATGAATACATCAGAAACACACACACGCACGCGCACGCACACACGATACATGCACGCACGCACGCACACACAAACAAACAAACAAACAAACAAACAAACACACACACACACACACACACACACACACACACACACACACACACACACACACACACACACACACACACAAACACACACACACACACACACACACAGATGGTGCAGAAGCAAGGTCAAGGACATACCTGTGGCTAATCTGTGTTCCCCTCAGGCTGGACATGGTCTCCTCCAGGTTCTGCCTCAAATCTGCAATGTCCTTCACCGTCCGCAACCGCCTGGCCTCAGGGTCTTCACCTAGGAGTAGGGGAGGGGGGTCTGTTAGAGAAACAGCTGCTACGTCAAACAACACACGGCACAGGCTGGTCAGTACATCCTCAGAAATGTGCATCTTTCCTGCAAAGATATCCACTAACACTTGAAAGGGACCATTCACAACAAGAGGGTCCTAAACATTACATACCGTACTGTCGCCAATCAAAGCCCAAACCAGAAAAAACATGTGTACAAAATACTCCATATGAATTCTGGATGCTTTTGAGGAAAGGAAACATTAGAAAAAGTCCTTCACATCAGTCAGAACAGGGTTTTTCATCCTGGTGCTGTACAGGACAGTATAAGTGTTGGGAAGGAGAAAAGCTCAGCCCACTAATTCACCCAAAGCCTTTTTCCAAATAAAAATGAGCCGTAGGTGAGTGGAGGGTTTTGCTTGGCAGATTCAAATGTATTTGCCTATTGCCCCCCCCCCCCCCCCCCCCATCAGTCAAGGCACTCCCAGTCAAGGCATTCCAGGGGGGCTTGGAGGGAGCCCAAACGAGCCCATTCACAGGGCTAAACCAGCCCTTTACAACGCCCCTAAATCCTTACAGGCAGCTATGCTTTAAGAGCAGCCCTTTGATGGAGGGTTTGTATAACTTTTCTCCTGTTTTAAAGCTGACCTCCCTTGATGAAGTCCCATTTCACGTCAGTTTCACTGCGAATGTAACAAAGAGAGCTGACAGAATGTTTAGCGAGCAGAAAAAAAGGGAACATACTCTGAACGCTTTGAGAGCATTAACAAACATATTGTTCTGCTAGTGAATGAAGCGCGTCTAGTCCAAGAGGTCTGGGACATTAAAAGATAAGCAGCGCCGAAGACGAAACTAGATGGTCTGCCAGTGAGCCAAACACCTCTGTGGTGGAGAGACCAGGAAGTGGACATACAGAGTGCTGTGACCCTGTGACCCTGAGACAGACTGCCAGGAGGTCAGAGGTCAGAGCCAAACGTGTGACCCCCCCCCCCACACACACACATGCACACACACAAACACTTACTGTCATGTTTCTCATATATGTCCAGCATAGTGAGGGGGATCTCCTCATTGAGTTGAGCGATGCCGTCCCAGACACAGGTCTGCTGCAGGTGCACCTGGTACAGCCGGCTCCGCCTCTTACTGGACACCTCCACATTGTTCTCCTCCCAGGTCACACGTTTGGCTCTGACCTCTGACCTCCTGGCAGTCTGTCTCAGGGTCACAGGGTCACAGCACTCTGTATGTCCACTTCCTGGTCTCTCCACCACAGAGGTGTTTGGCTCACTGGCTGACCATCTAGTTTCGTCTGGGGTTGGTCTGTTGGGGATGTGACAGGGCGGCTGGTTGTGCTGGCTGGAGCCCCCCAGGGTAATGCTGCCCAGAGACAGCCTGGTTCTGCTCCTGTCTCGGCTGGGTGAGGAGTCATTGCTGCTACCACTCTTACCAACACCCTCCCCACTTCTGTGAGGAAGCATGTCTTCTCTCTCCATGTAGTCCTTACTAGTTGCTCCAACTCTTTGACACTTTGCTAAATCCTGTCCGGGATTGCCACATCCTCTCCATGACACGTTATGTTTCCGATCGGAACAGAGGGTAAGTAGATGCTTGTTTTCTAAGAAAATCCTTCAGCCCCGAAGTGACAGAAAGAAAGTGATGTAGCTGACACACCTACCCCAGTGCTGCCCACTCCTCCTGTGGCGACTGGTTTTTCTTTCCTCAGTGATGGAAGAAGGGAGAAAAGCCTCTCCAGTCATCCACAACACACTCACACACAGTGGTGAGGAGCCTTGGCATCTCCATGACATCCACAACACACTCACACACAGTGGTGAGGAGCCTTGGCATCTCCATGACATCCACAACACACTCACACACAGTGGTGAGGAGCCTTGGCATCTCCATGACATCCACAACACACTCACACACAGTGGTGAGGAGCCTTGGCATCTCCATGACATCCACAACACACTCACATACAGTGGTGAGGAGCCTTGGCATCTCCATGACATCCACAACACACTCACACTCAGTGGTGAGGAGCCTTGGCATCTCCATGACATCCACAACACACTCACACACAGTGGTGAGGAGCCTTGGCATCTCCATGACATCCACAACACACTCACACACAGTGGTGAGGAGTCTTGGCATCTCCATGACATCCACAGCCTTTAACATGCAGATGAGCTCTTTCTGTTCCATTCAGTCAGGACCTGGCCTTTTCTCTCCCTCCTGGCTGCCATGGTAGACACAGAGACACAGAGCCCTGGCTGGGGCTGCCTCAGGACAAAACTACATCACTTCACCAGTCAACTCCAGGGTCAAATCAAGCCTCTCTCTCCACACTCTCTCAACGAGTCATGCAATTCATACAAAGCTCAATAATAATCCAGTATTTCCCTTTTCTTTATTTTTCCTGTGTGGCAGCAGAGCAGCTCTCCAAATGAACAGTACCAACCAACATAAACCCACTTACTTACTGGCTGAGAAAGTGTGTTTTTCCACTCACTCTGTATGCAGCATTAACAGTGATGTTAATTGCATTCAGACAGGCTTCGTGTGGGCCTGCCAAATCATTGTGAACTTTGAGGCAATATCGCTGATCCATTACGAAGAGGCTCAAAAGAATCCACAGGATACTGGGCCTTTTGTTTTCCATGGTGGCATTTTGATTCACTCCTCGCTATAGAGTATTGACATGTATAGCCGGGAAGAGAGACCCTCATTTGTGCCTGGGAACAACAAGAAGCTGAAAAAAATATTTCCCTGGGACAGGATCCTTTGTTGCTAATGAGATATTTGCCAGATTGTGAAGCATATTACAGTTCACAATAGTATCATCTTCTTAACTACCGTCATTTAATGGAACAATGGGAAAAATCCCAAAGAAAAACTGATGTGGAAATTGAAGTCACAAAGCACAGTATGAAAATGCCCTGTTTCAATCAATTGAATAACCACTCAGCAATCACATTATGTCCAGCATGCTTGGAAGGATATAGGATTTAACCAGTGGGACAGACATTGTGAGGTACAGCTACACACATACTCTCCATGTAAATCATAGTGAGCCAGTGTTACCTGTGAGGTCCTCCTGGGAGTTGTCTGCTGACTTGCTGTAGGCTGCAGTCTCTCTGTGACCCTCCAGTGACCCCGCTGCCTCCATCATCATGTCTGCTCCAGTCACATCAGGCTGAGACCTACAGGACAGGGCAGCAACAACAAGACAATAAGGGATGACGACAGGCAATAACAAGAGATATCCCAGAGCCTCTCTGTCTGCCTCTTTCTGCTGCTCTCTGCGCTCCGTCAGGAGTAAACAGTTCCCACTAAGTATATGTAGTTCAGTCCTCTCCAATTAGTCATTGACTATAATTTACGCTTACACAGATCCCTACAGTCAGTTAAAAGGTTTGAGACGTGGTATGTATAAAACGTTTGACATTTTGGTATATTCCTACTATTAAACTATGAAAGCTCAAATTCTGTCCATCAAAGTGGGCATAGTACCTGTACATGAATGGTGCGACAGTGGCAGTGTTGGGGTGGTTGTATTGCTGCTGAGGATGAGGTAGCTGGACACTGATGGTGTTGCTGGCTGTGGAGGCCACTGGGGGCGCTCCGTTGGTGTGCTGGTGTTGATGGTGAGACCTCCCTTCAGAGGAGGCCAGGCTGGAGCAGGAGCTGGAGCTTCTGCTGTCCAGCTGGCCCTTGTGCACCGAGAGACCACCACCCCCACCGGCACTCACACTGTGGGGCCTGTCTCCATCTCGACCAGAAGAGGGCGCCCCTGAGGTCTTCCCTGCCTTGGACCCTGGCTTTGGTATTCCGCAGTGTGCTGCTGGGGCTGAGCCCTCCTTTTTGCCACTGCCAGCCTTGCCTCCTTTTGGGATGAGGCTGGTGATCTTAGTGTTCCTCTTGGGCTCTGCTGAGTCTGAACCTCCTCCCTCCTGCCTTGTGTCATCCCTGGGTTCCTCCTGCTCTGTGACAGACCCCCGCTTGGAGCCTCCCTCCCGGGCCTTGTCCCTCTCCTTGGACCTGGCCTTGTCCTTCTCCTTCTCCTCAGTCTTCAGAGAGCTCTTCCGGGGGGTGAGGGCCCTGCTGAAGGTGCGCTGGGCAATGCCCTTCAGGGCCAGCTTGGGGCTGGTTGCCATGACACTGGGTGGCAGGGAGTTCCCCTCTGCCACCTCCAGGAGGTCACCGCTGGTGGGGCGCGACGCCATCGACTCCGTCTCCTGCCCCGTCGGCCTGTCAGTCAGGACTACAGCTGCCCTGGAGCCTCCTTTGCTGTTGAAAAGCTTGAGTTTCTCCAGCATGGACTTCTGGGCGATGACTTTAGGGAGGACCTCTAGGGGTGGGGCCGCGGGCTGCCTGGTGGGAGGGTCCTGCTTGACGGACAGCATGGAGGAGGTGGCGCTGTGCTTAGTGTTCAGGGACTTACTCCTCCAGAGCTTGCTGCTGTTCCCTGCATTGGGCTGGGGGATGGAGGAGGAAGAGGAAGAAGAGTAGCCATTGACGGTCCCTGGAGACAGACCGTGCTCACTCATGATGGGAGAGGGAGTGGTGCTTCTCTCTGTGGAGAAACCCAAACAGAGGCAGGGAGAGATGAGGGAGGGGAAAGTGTCTGCTATAGATAGAGATCTCTCATTGAATAGATGTAGTTGGGATAAGGGATGAACTCTCTGCTAAGTCAGTCACTCAGTCACACTGGCCTTCATGGCTACACTGATCTAACACAATACAAGCTTATGACACTGTGAATTACATGCCAAGTAAACAAATACTGTAACTGCAATTTGGTAAAAAGCAGTCATGAATAACTCCAAAACAGCAGCACAAAATGATATAAACATTAATTGCAAACAGTTATGGGAAAATAATACATATTTCTCAGTATAATTCAGAGTACCCCAGCAATCATTAACATGCTGATATTCAATGATAATTTAACATCAAAATCAATTGGTTATCGAAATGTTTTAAGCAAACAAAACGTACAAATATCTGGGAGTTTGGGAGGATGAGAAGTTGAGCTTCACCACCCATGTAGAGAACCTTGTCAGGAAACTCAAGCTGCGTATTGGGTTTTATTACTGGCACAAAGCTTGTTTTTCCCTTTGCCGCCAGAAAGGAGTTGATTTAATGTACTTTTCTCTGTGTATTGGCCTATGGTGATACTATTTATGTGCAAGCCTCAAGCTCTACACTGAAGGCTCTTGACTCTGTGTATCATGCAGCCCTTCGTTTTGTCACCAATCAGAGACATCTAACTCACCATTGTGATCTCTACAGTGCTGTCGGATGGACATCACTCGCAACACGCAGGCTCAAACACCGGTACATTCTTATGTAGAAGGCCATTTTAGGAAAACTGCCATTTTATCTATCCTCTCTTCTAGCTCGAAATGAAAACACAAACAAGCTCAGATCTGAATCTTGTTTTATGCTAAGAGTCCCGAAAATTAGAACCGAGCATAGAAAAAGGTCCTTTCATTACTCAGCCCCCTGGTCTTGTCTTCCATTGTTTTCATTTTCATTGTATTTATTTTATCCCAGGCCCCGTCCCCACAGGCCGTCAGTGTACATAAGAATGTGTTCTTAATTGACTAGCCTGGTTAAAATAATGAATTGATAATGCCCGAGAAGCCGGTGTTTGGAGGATATGTTGGACGGGTGTTGTTAGGCCCAAGACGAAGTCGAGTGGAGATCAAGTTTATAAATTGCCTATCTGGGCTGATGAAACAGTGGATTGCGCAGTCAGATGGAACAGAGTAAATAGGTATTTTAACGTCATAGATTTAGCCGGAGGTAACTTGTGGAATAGACAACGGCTGGAAGGCGGTTTTAACCAATCAGCATTCAGGATTAGACCCACCCGTTGTATAAAGGTTAAATAATAACCTACCTTTAAGTCCAGTAGTCTGCATGGGCAACAAAAAGCAGGGAAACCTGTTTCAGACGATACTCCTCTCTAACTAGGCACACTTACAGTGTGATTCCAGCCACAAACCTGTCCTTTTACCATGCCTAAGGGAGGTGTATAATGTAAACATGACGATTAGAACAAATGAACTGCCACAGCTAGCAGACATTTACATTTCAAACCTGAACTTCAGTGGCGGGTTTTGCACAGTTTAGAGAGCCTGCTATGTAGAGTGCCAGGGAGGGAGAGTCCATCATGAAAGCCTGTCTGTTCTTGCCAACTCAACACTGACCAGTGACCACATACAACTGTCACACACATGCCTCAGCTCACAAATAACACTCTAACAATGTTGGGTTTTGTAACACATCCATAGGGTAATCACACACATACAGTACATAGTTCAATTCACTTGGCTTATATGTATTTTTTGGACCTCAGAGGTAGCATTGACTTGATCTGTTATCAGGCTCACCTGTTAAGCTCTGCAATCATTTACAACATATCTACTGTATGTATTCATAACCTTGGCTAGAAAGTAGGGGGTTTTAAGTGCAACATTTATCAGCAGTGTTACGTACCAGGTACTACTGTATGGTAACAGTCTCCAACAAATCCTTATGTAAAAAAAAAATACGCAACACCTCCAAACATTTAACCCCCAAAAGGTGTTTCTTCATCCCCAACAAATGTGAGCTGCCTCATTCAACAGGTCCACTGACACCTACTCTGAATCCTGGCATATCGCTAGCATATCGCTGGCATATCACTGGCATATCACCGGCATATCGCTGTCATATCACTGGCATATCACTGGCATATCGCCGTCATATCACTTGCATATCGCCGTCATATCACTTCCATATCACTGGCATATCACTGGCATATCGCTGGCATATCACTGGCATATCGCTGGCATATCGCTGGCATATCGCTGGCATATCACTAGCATATCGCTGGCATATCACTGGCATATCACTGGCATATCACTGGCATATCACCGGCATTTCACTGGCATATCGCTGGCATATCACTGGCATACCCAGTAGGTATCCTAGCTGTGGTTTACAGGACAAATCTCCAGACAGTTTGCCAAAAGCACTTAACACCCAGTTAGTTAAACCATATAGTCCGTATCTTCAGACAGCTCAACATTCCTCCCTGTGCTGTGTAATGGTTTGCTTACAGCAGCCCAGGCAGCAGCTCCAGGGTCTAACAGTCAAGTGCAGTGATAAACTGTTAACACCAATCATTTACTAGACAGGCTCACAGTGTTTATGTAGGAACACTTTAACGGTCATGAGAATTTAATTTCACCTCGCTTAGTCACTCACGGCTACATACAAGTGTTCTGTTCTACCTGGTGTAACTAGAAAAATGGTAACGCTTTATTTGACACCTAGCATAATAACACGTTATAATATGTCATAATATGTCATAAAAGCTGTCATGACACAAATAATTAGAAGTGTTGTGACATATATTGCAATGTTTGATGGATGGTTATGACCCCTACTTAAGAGTGTCAAAGCACACAAATCCTACCACACAAAGCAAACCATTCCATTGTACCTGTAAATAGTATGTTACATAACATTTTCTTTAAATGTTTATTACCATTGTAATTGTATACACATTGATGTCAAACATGCGCCTAGCCCAATGTTCTGTCGCTGATGACTGGGATGAATGCAGGATCAGGACAAAACTCCCTCTTTGGGACTTATGACTGACATATGGTCATGTATGTGATAGGCCTATCTGTCTTATATTATTAACCTTACAACAACAAAACGTCCTGTGTATAGATTCTATACATTTCCATATTTTGGAATCAAAGTTTGTTTGTTCACAACATTATTATTGTAGTCCTCCTTGGTTTTGCTTTAATATAGCTACATGTATACTTAGCACTACCACTAGGGGGAGACATTTGAACTGTTAGCTTCAGGTGCGCACCTAATTCGTTGGAAGAATATAAGCAGGAAGAGACGCCCAGTGGAAAAATGTCAATTGTCTGTGTCTCCTTATTCATCTTGTTTTCAGGTTTGTAACATTTATGAGCATGGTTTTGTTTTTGCAATCTAAAGATAACACGTTTATCTAAACTGTTATCAACCACATATCACAGTCATTGTAAGTACATTTGTCATCAATGAAATAGCTATCAGCAAAGTCAGAGCTAGTAAGGGAAAAAAAGTCAAGTGTGAGTGTTAATTCATGAAGGGGGAGGGGTGAGGAGGCAGTTCGAGGGGGGTGCTGTGGGATTATTTAAGATACACTCTGAAGAGGTAGGGTTTCAGATGTTTTGGGAAGATGGGCAGGGACTCTGCTGTCCTAGCTTCAGGGTGAAGCTGGTTCCACCATTGGGGTGCCAGGACAGAGAAGAGCTTGGACTGGGCTGAGCAGGAGCTGCCCTCCCGTAGGGGTGGGAGGGCCAAGAGACCAGAGGTGGCAGAATGGAGTACTCGGGTTAGGGTGTAGAGTTTGAGCAGAGCCTGAAGGTAGAGAGGGGCAGTTCCTCTTGCTGCTCCATAGGTAAGTACCATGGTCTTGTAGTGTTGCCAAACTAAGCTAGCTAACTTTGTACAGTGCCTTGCAAAAGTATTCATCCCCCTTGGCGTTTTTCTTATTTTGTTGCAATACAACCTGTAATTTAAATTGATTTTTATTTGGATTTCATGTAATGGACACACACAAAATCGTCGAAATTGGTGAAGTCAAATGAAAAAAATAACTTGTTTCAAAAAATTATAAATAAAAATAACGGAAAAGTGGTGCGTGCATATGTATTCACCCCCTTTGCTATGAAGCCCCTAAATAAGATCTGATGCAACCAATTACCTTCAGAAGTCACATAATTAGTTAAAAAAAGTCCACCTGTGTGCAATCTAAGTGTCACATGATCTGTCACATGATCTCAGTATATATTCACCTGTTCTGAAAGGCTCCAGAGTCTGCAACACCACTAAGCAAGGGGCACCACCAAGCAAGCGGCACCATGAAGACCAAGGAGCTCTCCAAACAGGTCAGGGACAAAGTTGTGGAGAAGTACAGATCAGGGTTGGGTTATAAAAAAATATCAGAAACTTTGAACATCCCACGGAGCACCATTAAATCCATTATTAAAATGGAAAGAATATGGCACCACAACAAACCTGCCAAGAGAGGGCCGCCTACCAAAACTCACGGACCAGGCGAGGAGGGCATTAATCAGAGAGGCAACAAAGAGACCAAAGATAACCCTGAAGGAGCAGCAAAGCTCCACAGCGGAGATTGGAGTATTTGTTATAGGACCACTTTAAGCCGTACACTCCACAGAGCTGGGCTTTACGGAAGAGTGGCCAGAAAAAAGCCATTGCTTCAAGAAAGAAATAAGCAAACACGTTTAGTGTTCGCCAAAAGGCATGTGGGAGACTCCCCAAACATGTGGAATAAGGTACTCTGGTCAGATGAGACTAAAATTGAGCTTTTTGGCCATCAAAGAAAACGCTATGTCTGGTGCAAACCCAACACCTCTCATCACCCCGAGAACACCATCCCCACAGTGAAGCATGGTGGTGGCAGCATCATGCTGTGGGGATGTTTTTCATCGGCAGGGACTGGGAAACTGGTCAGAAGTGAAGGAATGATGGATGGTGCTAAATACAGGGACATTCTTGAGGGAAACCTGTTTCAGTCTTCCAGAGATTTGAGACTGGGATGGAGGTTCACCTTCCAGCAGGACAATGACCCTAAGCATACTGCTCAAGCAACACTCGAGTGGTATAAGGGGAAACATTTAAATGTCTTGGA